AATAAGTAAGAGCTACTGACATGTAGGTAATGTGATGTTGAAAGTTTACGAACATTCCTAATAAGTATCAGCTGAAAAATATCAATCCCTCTAATTATTCATAAACTCAGGAAGTAGAATATTAGTATGCCACGAAGACCTTATAACTATTCATACCGAATTAATTTAGAGAAAGCCATTTTTCTAATTGACTATAAGTTATTGGATTATGAACTATCTAGTGATATTGTTATTCTGTCGAAGAGGAATTTGATAAAACTAAACAATAAGGGTAGATAGAGAAGGGAATCAAGCATTTCTCGGATTGTAAACAAAATGGTAATATCTTTAAGTTCACATCTCTACTTTTTTTAAAAAAAAAATGTGGATCTATCTGCTAATCACATTCTTCATATACACGCAATAAGACTAGTTTGTTGACATTGCAAAATTGCTTTCTAGATTCAACATTTATGACATATTTCAATATCGTTCCTTTCTATGTACGACTTTTGAATCTTCGATTAAAATCAGATTTTTGTTTTATTCAGAAATGAAGCTGGTATACTTTGTTAGTATCGCGTAGCTATTTAAACTAGAGCTGAATATTATTTTATCTCAGTGATTGTTTTAAAAATAAATCTGTTATTTGAAGCCTGTTAAAATTATTTACACGTATTCCTAATATTGCTAACTGTAAATTCACTAGCCAATTGTGACAGCTGTTTACCATAAAGAGTCAGTCAGTTATACTATGCATCACATTTATTCATGATTTACTTCAACCACGTCATAAATTACCTTATCAGTATAATATTTTGTATCGGAAATTCGGTTCAACTAATATTACCAATGATTATTATGACTCTAGCGCCATCGTGCAGTTCCCCTTATTTCGCATTCCCAGTTAAGTAATGTCCATCAAATACGTTAAGAGAAAGTGCTATTTAATGCATCGATATATTATCTTTACGATACAAATGTTTAATAATTCCACATAGTCGCAATTGATTGATCACTGGGTGGTGATCAATGTCATGCATGTCAAGTCCTTCTTAGTGCTGATCGAATGCTATCGACCACCACCTTACCTCTCTCTCTCTCTCTCTCTCTATATATATATATATATATATATATATATATATAGTGCAAGCAGTGTCGAGCCACCTAGACTGGTGGCCACATTGCAACTTGATCGATAGCATTCGATCAGCACTAAGAAGGACTTGACATGCATGACATTGATCACCACCCAGTGATCAATCAATTGTGATTACACCTCAGCCCTACAGGAGGTTGGTCGCGGCCCGAATAGCTGTGGTAACGTCTCTGACTGTGATGCTGAGTGACACGGGATCGAATCCGATAGGGAGCTTCAGTTCTCTCAAAGATTACAGGTACACCTTGCTGACGAGTGCCAAGTAGCACGAAACCCGGGTCCAGGGTTTCCTGTTGACCACCTCCAACCACCACCTTACCTCAATTCCACATAGGTTTGATGCTTACAAAAGTTTCCAAATGTTTTAGAATCACGGCACTCTTAATTGAGTGTAAATTTTGAAAGTTAGTACACCACTGTATGCAACACCAATCCAGTTAAAATATTTTCCAATTTTAAACTGGTCTTTATTTATTCACTAATCTATGAGTTTCAGTTTTTTTTAGTCTGTGGAATCAATAAGCTATATGGAGTAATAAGAATGTTACTGTGCAAAAACTGTAATGAACCATTGTGACGGCAATAACTGGGCAAGAAAAACTAAGACTTCTAATACACCACTGTAGTTGTGCAATGTTTCATGGAGTGTATCAAGAAAATCAGGATCTGTTTCATCAACATTAATGACTAGAAGGGGCGCTTTAAAAACTTGGGATAATTTGATCACCACACTAGATCATTAAATTAAACCACTAGAATTAGATTTATTTTCATCCTCGAAATCTAAAATGGTCATTCAGAGGTGAAAACGATAAGGTATTGTAGAGCTTCTATATCATTGCTTGAGTGCACGAATTCTAATGTATTAGTGTCTTGTTCAACCAAAAGATATACAAGAAAAAAGCTATGAATGACGTGGATGGTTAGTATCTGATAAGATAACACCTGCCAGGAGTTTGCAAGATTTAATATATCTGACTTTACTTACTTACATCTTTTACCCCTAGTGGAGAAGCAAAGGCCGCCCATCAGCATTCTCCATCTAACTCTGTCCTCGGCAATCCTTTCCAGTTGCCATTCGTCCTTTTTACGTCTGCTTCGAATTCCCGATGCATTGTGTTCTTTGCCCTTCTTTTTTTCCCCGTTCCCCTTCAGGATTCCAAGTTAGCTATTGCCTCGTTATGCAGTTTAGTGATTTTCGGAATGCTTATTCTGTCCAATTTCGACGTCTTTTCCTAACTTCCTCTTTAGCCGAAAGCTAGTTTGTTCTCTTACTCGATGTGCTAATGCTGATAGTATCCGATCAACGGACACTCAGTATCTTGCGTAGTCAATTTTTATAAATACTTGTACCTTTTTGGTGATAGTTGTAGTAGTTCTCCAAGTTTCTGCTCCGCACAGTAGAACCGTTTTGACGTTCGTATTGAAGATTCTGACTTTAATATTGGTTGAGAGTTGTTTTGAAGTTCATATATTTGTAAACTGTAGAAGTGCGGCCCTTGCTTTTTCAATCCTCGCCTTTACATCTGCATCAGATCCACCTTGTTCGTTGATAATGCTGCCTGGGTACGTGAATGTTGTCACCTCTTCCAGAGATTCTCCATCAAATATGATTGAGTTGATTTTCTCCGTGTTGTATTTGAGGATTTTACTTTTTTCTTGTGTATGTTGAGGTCTACTTATTCAGAGGCTTCTGCTACACTGGTTATCTTGGCATGCATTTGTTCAAGTGTATAGGATAGAAGGGCCAGGTCATCTGCGAAGTCCAGATCGCTTAGTTGCATCCAACTTGTCCATTATTTTCCGTGTTTCCCGTCAGATGTCGAGGTTTTCATAATCTAGTCAACCATCAGAAGAAAGAGGAAGGGGGAGAGTATGCAGCCTTGTCTGATTCCGGTCCTTATTCAGCTTGTGGCTTGACTTTCTTTGCTTTCGTTCGGCTGTTGTTAAGTGCTGTCTTCTTGTTCTTCCTTTCTTGAATCTTGCTCAGTTGATGGTGATCAGAAGCCATGTCAGATCCTCTCCCGGTTCTCACATCTTCCATTGACCTTGTGAATTTTTAATTGATACAAATATGATCGATGTGATTCATTGTAGTGTGATCCGTTGGGATCCATGTAGCTTTGTTTACGTATTTGTGGGGAATATTGTGCCACCTATAAACATTTTGTTAAATGAACATGGGTTTGCAAATTTCCCCCCATTTTCATCTCTCTCTCTCCTTGTCTATGTCTTCTCATGATATCTTCATATTCAGTGTTGTCCGTTTCGACTTTGGCGTTTAGGTCTCCCATCAGGATGGTGAGATTCTCTTTTGGGCACTTCGCTATGATTAATTGCAGCCTGTCGTAAATCTGATCTTTACCGTCGTCATTGCTATCATTAGTGGATGCATAATAATGGATAACGTTTATCGTGATTCCTTTCTTCCTTGTTTTGAAGGATGCCTTGATGATTCTGGATCCGTGAAATTCCCATCCTACAAGTGCATTTCTTGCTTCTCTGGGCAGCATAAGAACAACTTCCTGAGTGTGTGGAGCATTTTTCTCTTTGTTAATGGAGCACAGAAGCTTCTTTCTTGTGCCTAACGTTTGCTGTCTAGCATGGGTCCAATGGGTTTCGCTGACTCCAAGTACTGCCAACTTGTATCACCTCTTTTGCATTGCGATTTGACTGGTCTTACTGATCTCCCACATTGTCCGGACGACCCATGTACCTATAAAAATTGTTGCTCTGCTTGTTAGAAGGGACATCGGCCTCGTGACTTCCTAAGAATCTTGGTCCTCATCCTGAGGCGTCATAATTCTTCATTCAACTCCTAGGATAGAGTTTAAATGGTTTGAATTGTTTTTTCTGGTTAACAGTTTTTTAGCGAGTTAGTTTTCTACGGGATTGGGTCGCTAACCCCATGCCCAACCCTCCTCCTTTACCCGGGCTTGGGACCGGCAGTAACTCTAGAAGGGCTACACGCGGAGTTTGATGTCTATCCATAATCATATTATAAGTGTCTTCAAAAGGTTCACCCTACACCCTGAAAACTGCCTTCAGCACTCTCCCCAATACAACAAAGCCTTTACTCAATAGCTCATGGAAGAATAATGGAGAACAGTAGAGAATAATAGGTTCTATATAGGGATTTACAAATCGAAAGTGTAAATGTTGAGTAATGTCAAAAACATGCAGTCTCTTCATGTAGTAAGTCAGATGGAAACGTTCTTCGATATCAATAAAACGTGAGAAAACTAATTGAGATCAGAGGAAGTACTTACACCAAGATTAATGAACTTTGACACTGTTTATTAAAGAATCTCCAACAATACAAGCTTTATGGGATTCCAACAATGTGTTTAGGCACTGTTCATATTTCAGGCTAAATTTAAGAGTTTGAAATTTAGACGAACTAAGTGTGAGACCATTAACACCAGACCATCGTTCAATAAGAGACAAGAACTCATTCATTTCAAAGTGATATAAGGAGTTGGAAATCGGCATATATGCAGCAAGATAGTACGCATATTTAACAAAAGATCTTTATGTGGGAAATGGCAGATCATGTAGAAAGAAAGAGAAAAGTAAAGGGGAAAGAACAGCTCCTTGTAGCACACTGTTAGTCAGTGAGTTATTGAACGCTTTCCTCCAAACGCAGTATACCGTCTTCTCTCAGAGAGGTAGGAACACGTTACTGAACCAATTATAAGTTTACTTTCTATAACTCATCAATTCCTTACATGTTATTGGTTGATAGATTGATATAACGGATTGTGTGATTGTTTCATCCACGTATACTATGATAATATGTTATTAAAACTAGTCACGTTACATGAGATCCAAGATTCATAACCCAGAATAGAGAACCAGAGTATAAACTAGGTAATACTATATTCACCACAGTTACAAGCAGACACCTTCAGTGAATCCAAAGTAGAAATCAATGAGAGGTTGTGTCTGTTTGCCAACGCTCATCGATTAATCATATTTTATTTTCACTATCACACATCACTGATTATAGTAACCATCTAATAAAACTGATTTTTCGAAATCAATTACTTGGGTTAGATTGAATTGAAAAGTTTGTGTATTGGTTACTTTTCTCAAAAAATATACATGGGATAATGAGATAATGAATTTATTGGTAAGTGATATGTCTTTTAATCATCATCATCACCACCGCTCTCACCCTCTTCTTCTTCTTCCTCTTCCTCCTCCTCCTCTTCTTGATCCTCGTTCTGACGTCGAGCAGCTTCAGCTTGTGCAGCTCTCCAAGCTGCTTCTTCTTCAGGTGTCGGATCGTCAACCTCTGTGATTTCTAGTCCTGAAGGAAATTCTTCAAATGGCTTTGGTATTATTTGAGGACTAAAATTCATTCCAGTATATTTTAATCCCCAGCCTACGTAGATATTTGCAAAAAATCTGGAAAGTAGCAGGTATAGAATTTTTAACATTGTAGAAACAATAAGAAAAAAACTTTTATGAGTTATTTCGAACACCGTATATTGTGTCGATATATATTACGTCGCCTAGTCAATTATACTAGACGAATTCACGCCATTCAAACTCGTTGGAATAGAGCTAAAGTTCTTGGTTTAATTATTAATAATTCTATTTTATATTTATGTGTTGATATTTCTTAAAATGTTATTAATTTTCAACCAAATTTTGCAAGCATTTAAAAACACAATCTACTCATTTCTGTTAGATAATTTTCGAAGGCAGTTATTTTTATTGGAAAATGATATCAAACGAAGAAATGCTGAAATTCACAAAAAATTTCATAGCTATTTCCTACTTTATCATACACTGATTGAAGTTGGAAAAGACAAACATGGGATTCTGGTCATATAGCTTTAAATGTCGTGTTTATTTTCAAACATTAAGGTTCTTCCTAATATAGAACTGTAGGTGCGTTTTCTCTAAGCAGTTCCAGACTAGGAATAAATAGATATTCAGCAGTACTCTGTTCATCATTTCATATCAGTAAGAAGTAAAAATTCGCTACAAACTATTTTACGCTTGCTTAAAATTTACGTTTACACACTGCTAAATACTCCTAATGGGTTTTAAAACATGTTTATACACAAATGTACTCTTTTGGGTTCAATAATTCATTCGCATGGGTTTAGTTTTGTTCATTTCTCTTATGCTAGCTAAATAAAACACCACCTCAAATGTTCTGTGGACATACAGGAGCGGGATATAGTTAGTGTCATGTGAATTGAAGCACTGATCATACACGATAAAATGTTCTTCCGTTTCATCCACATTTGTATTTCAATATTTATTGCTTTCCATGTACGTATGTTTGTATGTATAAATATGTATATGTATTACTTTTCTTGATTTGTACTGCATTATTTAATTAAATATATATGATCTCAAATGTATTTTTTACTTTTTATAAAGTAGAAGTAGAAATCACTACCAAATTTATGTGGCGAAGTACCATTTCACATGTATATATTTGTGATATTCGTTGTCAACAAACAGATTACACCAATTGTTATTGGTTCTGTTACTGAAGAGTACAAGAACTGATGGTACTGAATTCAGTTTCATATAGTTTTTGAATTCACTCTACCGATGAATATCACACTAAGTAGTTAGTGATGTTTATGTTCGTTGATTTTCAATGTTTCTTTAGATTATTTAACATTTTTGATAAAGACTAGTCAGTCAGTCATCTACAACATAGGACCAGGCACACATATGCATCGGTCCAAGTTGCCTCACCTCATTAGCACAACAAGATGAACACCAAACCCAAATAAGTAGTTACTTCAATGGTAGTAATATATAAAATGAAGATTGCATATAAGAATATAGTACAGGAAGAAAGGAAGATATGAAGTAATTCTGATCTCATAGTTTAGAGGAAAATAAAGAGTGTATACACCTACGCCATTGTGATTGGTTCTGAGCTATGTCACCCAGAGTCTCTAACCACTGGTTACGATAGTCACGCGGACCCCAAACAACTAGTCTGCATCTATCAACATGGCTAAGACTGGGAATTAGTGACTTCAATGACTGATGCCACGCTTTGGTTTGGTCGTCCCTAACTTTCCTCCAACCTTCCCCAATACCAGTCAGAATTGAGCGTCGTAGTAATCGATGTTCAAGTATACATAACATGTGTCCCAACCATTTCAGTCGATGAAAATTTACAAACTTATCATTCCACCCATCGTTCTAAACGTCTGAGCTGAGAGCAGATAAGAGTGTCGTCTTTTTCCGAAATTGTCTCGCTTACACTTGACTTCTTAATTCCGGTTTCTTTTATTAGTCTAAAGAGCTGTCTTGTGTTATCTACAGACGTTGTGTTTTCCACATCTTTTGATTTCGTTGCCCACCACTGCTCATGGTCGTTCCCTAGACTTTTGTTTAATCTAGGTCTGATTCGCTTTCGCTCTTCATCGTGTTCAGAGCCTGATGGGATTAGTTTTCGAGAATCCATCAGTGAAATAGACTTAGAAGAAATCCATTGGTTTAAATTACTAATACATGTTACTGCTGTTTCAACAGCTGTTCGTATATCTTCACAAGCAACATCTGGGTCAGCCTCGTTTTTTAGAACTACCTAAGTGTGACTTCAGTTGTTCCTATAATCTACTTGTGACTTTCTCGTCACACACATACAAATGTCGAATGCTGGTTTTTGTTACTACTTTATAAACTCAAAGTGACTATTTATTTACAGTTAATAATAAACATAACTTGATGTTGAATAATTTGAATTTTGAATACTTTTCTGCTATACATTTATCGTCTTAAAATGATATTTTCAGATGCTTTTAAAGTAAGGATATTCAGGTACCCTCGGTAAATTTTAATTCTCATGTATCTATTCTTTTGCAAAACTCTCATCAAAGAAATAAATCTATTTTATGTAAGTTAAAGAGAAAGAAAAACTCATTTGACTTCAGAAATCCACGGGACAGTTTGATATATTTATAGTCTATCAGCTAAATTGTGTTTTAGCATTAAAAACTTAGTTAAAAATATTCTGATTCCTTACCTGCCTTGTGCTAATGCATATGCACCAGGCCAAATATTAGATGATAGTACAGCATATGCGTAATGAGGTATTAACTGTGAAGTAATACGAGTTGACCATGGTGGAATACCACCAATTTCTGCATCTTCTGATAATGGGGTTAACAACGGAGGCCCTGTTTCGGGTTCAGGTTCATCAGGCTCATCTTCTTCATCTTCAGACATTTCATCCTCTAGTTCGTCTTTTGTCTTGATTGCTGTATTCAACCTGATATAGGAGGACGGGCACATATATTTATCAATGGAATTAGAAGCTAATGAGACAACACTCGCATAGATATGGATACATGTATGCGTAGATTTCGAGAAATTAAATGGATATAAGTTTAGCAAACTGGTACTTTTAATGCGTTATAGCAATGAAAATTACTGTGAAATAGAGTTATTAAGTCTTGAGCAAAGTTGTATATTACTCGTCTCAACAACATTTCGCTCATCTGATTTATGAACAAAATTATGATAATCATATTTATGTTCATGTTGAAGGCAATTTTAAGATTTTAAGTACGCCTAAATATTTAAGATTAACCATAATTTGAACGCTTATTTGTCTCTTAATAAAATAATAATTGGGTTCCTTTTGCTTTCACAATGTATACTGTCTAGCAATTACTAATGCTACACGCTTGCATGATTTACTCTATTTTTGGAAAGATCAATTATCGTGAATTCTTCATTTATTCTGTTATTCATAAATTTATCTTCGTCATTTGACTCACGCATAACCTTGATCGTATTTTCTATAAGTGTATGTAGAAATTACGCGTCTATATGACTCCTGTATTTCTTACATGATTAATTTAAAGTGTCACCTCACGGTCCTCAGTCGGTGTATTAACGATTTGAAATGCTTTGTGAAATCGTCACATTTTTTATTGTTTGTCTGCCGTTCACCACTAGCGAATCTGAAATATACGTCCCTTAAAAACAATTCGAATTTGACTTTTGATAAGGTGTTGTGCTAAGCGTTTTAAGTCGACAGAACATATATGAAGTAAACAGGATCGGTATTTCATGAACATTGATGTTGTTCGTTCATTGTGGAGTCAAACAATCGGCCACAAAAGTTACACATAATGAACTTTACTATACATCATCACTTTCGAATAATGATAGCGCACTGTTTAATTAACAGAGGTTCAGAATTTTTGACACGGTAAATATTTTTGGTATAGTAATTCGACTGTACATTAAAGGGTTCAAATTCTGCGCAAACTACTCACAGGAAAAAATAGGTAGGATTTCATGAAACTAAAAAATATGCAGACACCATACATTAGTAGTTCACAGGTAAAACTATGGTATTGAGTATTTCAAAAATAAATCTCATCCTTTCAATTTGTGTCATTCATGGCTTAAAGAATTTATTCATCAATACGATGGGACATTAGTTTATCTTACCTCGTTTTGAGGTAACGAATAGTCAAAAACACAATAAAGTTTGGAAATAGACAAATAAAAATAGGGAAAAATAAGTAGGGAAGAGAAGTGAATATCTTTACACAATTGCTTTTAAAACTCTAGCAGTTTTATCTATAGGTTCTAGCCATTGATTGGTACATTCTCTTGCTTAAAAAGTAAATTGTGAAAGGAAAACATGTAGATTTCTAGGATCACCTACAGATTCTAAAATTTCAATTCAATAATTTCCAGGTTTCAGTTGCGGTACGTAGGTAAAGGTTATTTTTATTTGATTGCTTCATTTAGATTCGATAAATTTGATATGGAATCCGTTAATTTGTTTGGTAATTTAGAATATATATGCTACAATTCAATTTTCGAAGATATATATTTAAATCAGCTCAGAGTTCTTCAGAATTAAAGCTTGATTCACTTGATAAAAGACCAAAGCAGCTTATTTGAGTTCAGTAACGTTTTTAAGTATATATATATATATATATATATATATATATATATATATATAATTCTGGATGAACTTTATGGTAATTTCTGAAACTTACCACTTCAATAAAGTTCTCTTGGCTCCCTTCCAGGGTTACTGCTAGTTCTAAGTCCAGATAAAGAAGGGTTGGAGATGAGGCTAGTGCGCGATCAGGGTTTCAGATCAATCTGGTCAGTATCGCAGTTTAATTGGAGGTTCTAACTAGTCTCGATGTTCATAATATAGTCTTTTTCACCCATATCAGGTTACTATGTGAGACTGCCTTCACGGCTTTTTATGAGTATTCTACTTTACATATGTGGATGGTACTACTTCTTGTTAAGTCTAACCTTTCGATTTAACGGAGCATGGGACTTTATGGTTGCACATCAGCACCATCAATCTGCTATTAGCTATGTTTTGAGGAAAGCTGCGCTGTGTTGTACGAAATCTCATAAAACTAGAGGGTTTCACTACTTCTTTAGTACGTTTTGAGTCAGTGCTCTACGAAACCTAACAGTCATGGGTAAGTAAATAAAAACCACTTAAATGCATTTTATATGTTTTATCACTTACATGATTTAGTGCAGTTAAGAAAAGTGAGTTCACTGATCAGCGTAAACTATAAACTAGAAAGAATTCATTTTTACTCAAAGACGTGGAAATGTTGCAGTATTTGTATTGACTGATAAATAATAAGTACACATTTACAAGCTTTATTATGATGCTAATAAAATGTACTCACACGCGTTAACGGTATTTAACAGTCTTTAAGTCCTAGTCCATTTGGGGTTACCAGAGTACGTTTGGACATATCTACAGATTACGGTATTATTCAGTACATTCAACACTACGTTTTATTGTAGCTGTCGTGCGCTTACATTATCCTTGGTCGATTTGATTTACTTATGAAGCGCATAATTTGGAATCACTGAATATTATATCTCTTACTTTTACTTGTAACACTGCTTCCTGCATAACCCTGATGATGCTCAGGAATCAGCATGTATTCTGTAATTAATTTCAGGGTAAATTATTATATTGTTCTACATGTAAAGTGTAGATTTATTGGTAGTCCTTTCTTCAAAACTCACATTTTCACTGGTTCACGGGACTTTTAATAACATATAAATATGTTTGAAGAAGAAGAATGTGTAGCACGTTGAACGATTTGCTTCCAGTTTCGATTCAAAGATTGTCTTAGTCTGAAGCTTGTGTTATTGTTGATCGTTGTCAATTACTTTCGATATTGAATGTAAGTGCATTGTGTGCCCTTGCTGGGTCGTCGACTCACCTTTACTTTAGTTCTTCTCTTTCCCTACCATCTTTAATCATACTAGTCTGCATGCTCCTAGCACACAAAGTACTTTATGGTTAGGCGCAAACCGCTACAATTGTTGTCAACATGTCTTTTATCAAGCATAATTTGTACATCAAGAAGGAATTCAATTTGATAGCCACACACTGATATTACTGTTTACGACTTGTTGGCAAAATTACTCATACATATGTGTATTTATGTACCCATCTTACCACACATCTTGTAGATAATTTTTACTTTATTCAAAAAATAAATGACGTGCTGTTTTTACATGTCTTTTCATTTCGGTAAATATTAGAGTGGTTTAGTAACGAATTGTCGTTAAACTTAACTCAAAAAGGAAAGTAGTTATCACCAATAAATTCAATATTCGTCTGTAGTTACAAAACTAACTTATTTTTCTGAAACAGGAATTTAATCAGTTACCAGTAGATTCATTCGCAAACATATACAGTGAAAAAATTGAAACGTACCAAACAGTTCGACCTTGTGGTAATATATAAGCTGTATGATGAACCCAATTAGTTAAAGTAGGGTCAGTCAAATCATAAATAGTCATTGGCTCATATTCAGGATTTTCTATAAAATTTTCTCTTAAAGAATCTTCCTCTATTTGTTCTTCTTCTTCGTCTTCGTTAAACTGATAATAATTTATTGGAGAAATCGTAGTTGATCCAGATATTCGTGCTATTTGTGCTCGAAGAAAATTTTTTTCAACTCCAGGGAAAGTTGGGAATGTATCAATTTCCGCTTCCAGATCACCCGTACAAAAGTATTTTATCATCCGGCTGGTGATAATCTAAGGGTTCAGAACACCATACTTGTAATTGTTCTACGTCATAGTACACAGTACGTTATAAATTCGTAGCACTCAAACGCTAGTTAAAATTTGCTACTTTTAGGAAATATTTTGTCTATCGAGTCTCGTAAAAATAGAAAAAACAAACTTTTCTTCTCAACTGATACTACTTATTAATAAAATGATAGTTTAGATCATATGATTTGCCAGTTTTCTACCTACATTCAGAGGGAAAGTGATTTAAATCCAACATACGAGATGTACAACACACTTATAGTTTATCTGCACTGTACGTATTATTATTCATTAAAATTCTGAGTAGACTAGACATTTGAACTTTTACAAGCAATTAGTGATATTAAAAAAATGATCAATATTTATGTCGTTGAGTCAAAGCAATTTGTAAACTTTCGTCAGTAATCAGCGAGAATTCTTGTCTTCAGAAACCGTCTGACTTACGGGAGTCTACTGTTTCATCTAGTGTATGAAGTTTAACCACCAAAAATACAGAAGAAAGTGAAAGAGGAATTCTGATATTGAAATAAAATTTAATAGACGGTTGTGCTAAATATTTCAAAGTGGTAAGGTTTTTTTAAGGGATAGAAACGATTATTGTACAACGATTTTTTGGTTTTGCCAAACAGTATAGTAATCAAAATCCTGATTTACCGTTTAAGTTATTATCATCGGTAATTCTTTTGCATGCATTTCGTAGATCAGCAATTGGTAAGACGATTCGATAGTTAATCTGACTCCAAAATTAAACATCTTTTTTTAAACGAAACCATGTATTTATCTATACTACTAACACCGATGCGCCAGCAACCATTGAGGAAGTAATGTTCCACGACTAAACACAATTATTATTTTAAGAACAATCTAGAAACGGGCTGTAAATGAATCTAACACGAGAGTACATTTATTGAGAGAATGGTCTGACAAATTCCCAACTGATCATGAGATGTATGTATAAAACTTGGAGATAAAAAGTTGTTAAAGGTTACAAGGAAATGTTATGGGATGTATGCATTATGGGTACTACAATTAACTCTTGTTACCTTATAATTTTGATGGATCACTTGTCAATTACATTGGTTGCAACCCAGAATATAGGAAACGTCTTAGGTTACTCAGTGACATGGTTGAAAAGTAAGCCTAAATTTCTATGGAGTTATTTAGCGTATATATTGAAAGCCTGGGATAAAGCTTTGACACTGATTATTATTTGCAGCAATAAGTTCTACTTATATGAAGGACTGACTAGAAATTTGTTGAAAAGGAATTGTTCATCCGCTTTTTGTCACAAAAAATAGATTCGAAGGTAGATAACTTGACAGTGTGACAAATAACAGTCACGGTCTCGTGTCTAAGATTAGAGTTGTGCCTCGAGGTCATAATAGTCGTAAATAATTCCTGTAAATAGTGAGGAATTTTGGTATTATCCAAGAGTAAGGTAAAACATAACATTACATAAGTCATATTGAGTTCTACCACGAAAAGCAAAGGATATCATGTTTAAATAAAAGTTACAATTTAAGTGATCATTGATGACTGGTCCTGTTTCTTCAGTGTTAAATTTTTAGCCCAATGCGTGCCGAAGATGATGTTTGATTGGCAGTTGCAGAAAAAACAATGGTCTTATACCTTATTTAAAAAACAAAATTGTTTGGTATCATCGCTGTATTCGTACAAGTTTTAATTAAGTGTAATCGTAAATTTGAATAAAGTAATTACCAATATACTAACATTTATATAGCATGTTCGGAAAAATTTACCTGCTCTGGAGTAACATCAGGCAATCTGACCCAATCGTCGCCTAAAACGTTGCAAACAAAATATGTTTTTCTATTGGTGCCTTTTCCGTGTTCTTCGGGTGGTACTGGCAGTTGTGGTTTCCATTCGGACTTTGGAAGCGGATCCATATCGAGAATTGCCAATCTTTCGCTAAGTTCTACATCCGATCGTGCCGTACTCTCATTATCTCTCAATTTGGAGTGAGCGTCAGGTGGATAAATATTCTTATCACCAGCTTCTAGTTCTTCTACCTCTAAAACGTAGTAATTCCGGGAAGTTCCTAAATATTTTCCCCAAAACCTGATAAAAGTTGGCGAATTTTTCGTTAGAAACGATCGAATCGATAAAGAAAGGTTGACAACCTCTTCCTGGGGGAAGCCTTACTCCAAAAAATTATTGTTGAGATGATAAGACAAACCTATGCCTGCTTGACCCAAAGCAAAGAAAAGTTTAGACAAATCAGGCAAAACTTCAGACACACGAACCTCCTTGGAAGGAACCTGATGAATTTAAAAAAGCGTTCAAATTTGCACAACTCGAAACTAACTGTGAAGTATGACCGACGACGTAACGCTAAGTCAAGATCAGCAGAAACCTCTTTAACACGTCTTATTAAGTGCAAGTCCGCTGAACATTTAAACCTTTTAATCTTTCGACTAAGGTTCTCCAACTCTACAAGTGAGCTGTCACCGTTTTCCTTTAAAATGCTACACAGGACTTGGACTAAATGGTCGTAACTAAAAATATTTTGGTAGGATAAGTTAGAAATCATTTTGTGGACAGACATATTGAAACCGCCTTCATTGCATCTCTGTAACAAGCCTTTAGCATTGACAAATGCATATCTATTCGGTTTCAGCACAAATTCACCGTTCTCAAGCTCATTTTCATTAGAAACTTGTTCATCATTGCTAACATTAGACATCGTTATTCGCGCTCTAGTGTTGTTATGACAGTCGAGTAGTCAAACAGACTTTTTAAAATACTCGAACTATTATTCACCTCTGAAAGATTTTAAGTAAATCAGACGTCGACATATTACCTTTTATCAAAAATTGATCACCATTGTAATTAGTGCGCCTAAACTGCGTGACGCGGTGTACGCGTTAATCATGTGCGCCTATCATAATCCTGGGTACCCTCCAAACTACCCAGAAAGTAGGTTGTCATTGATGATAATATTAACACTTTGTAAGCTCCTTATTATGCCAACTTTCAGCCAAACAGTCAGGAATATATTCCAGCTGCACCACGTACAGATGGTAATACTGGGATGTCATTTATCCAAAATCAGTTTATTCCCGACTTGGCTGTCCGTTATGGGTCAGCTATGTTTGATGAAGGTGCAAACTTTGTCCATAAGAATGTAAGCTGATTTTTAAGACTAATCATTCCCAGGTTGACCAATATGTTAATCGATTTCGCATAAAATACTACTTTTCTGTTAATAATTCATACGTTGCCAAAAAGATCGGGCTGATCTTGTTTCCGTTTGCTCATACAGTAAGTACTGCTCTAGTTTATTTTGTATTTTTCTGGTTGCTACACTGTAGTTATGACCTATGATTATTAATATTGTTTCCGACGGTTGACTGAAACTGAGCATTTCTTACATTAACTATCTGACATTTCAAAGCAGTTACTATGAAAATGGAGAATTCATTTGTAAGGTTTAGGACTTCATTAGACCCAATTATTGTTTTGTACAGAATAACCTCACCTAGGGCTCACGATTTATATCCGATTTATTTGCTACAATCTATTATCACTTTATTTCTTATTGCCTTTTAGTGGTTCGAAATTTTTGATTTCTTTGAGTATGATTTGTCTGCAGTAGACATAGAGATAAGTAGCAACTTTGTTTAGGACTTTCTCAAACACTGTTCTCATCTCATTACTTTTTTATAAGAAAAAGCTTTTGTGCTGTTTCTCCAGTACAACTGACATAGGATGATACTCAAATTATGCAAACGTTTACCTGTAATACAAATCTTATCTGAAACGTTGTTGAGTAACAGATATTTCTTTAACGTTTTGTTTACAATTAACACGGTCAATAAAATGCTAATACTAACCCATATAACAATCTGTTTCTTGCTTATCGTCAGTTGGCCAGTCAGTCATACGAGACGTGCAACATGACACATATGTATATCGGTCCAAGAAACCACAGCACAGCTATATGAAATAATTAAGATAAGTTCCTAAGTAATGGACGTGCTCGCAGTTACAATAATAATATTAGTAAAGACCAACCGTCTAAGGAATAATATTATAAACTTGAATCTGAATTCGATCTAAAATAATTCTGGAACTCGGGATCTAAGGATTGCCCATGAGCAGATGTATTCACGTCGTTGCGATCAATTCTGAACCACTTCACCTCATAACTTTCATATTTGTTTTCCCAGTACTTGATTGAGTTCATGAGCAGAACAGGCCATTCCAGACTAGATTTCAATATACAGTTGTTCGCGCAACTAAAAGAGACAGTAAGAACTCGGAAAGATAGAGACACACACTGTTGCCATTTTGTCGTATGTCTACGATCCCACTAATTGCAGTTCGGATTAAGTTAAATATGAGTTTTATGGGAAGCTATCTAACCTTCAAAAATCTAATCGCTCCGATGTAGTAATAGTGGCGTGTGATTTTAACGCTCAGTTAAATAAACTAAGCCAAACTGAAAGGTGGATCTTACGATATTGTGGCTCAGCGAACAGTTAATGACTCCCATCTGTCACAACTATGCACAGGCAACCGCCTATTTTTGGCAAACATCAACTTGAAACATAAGGAGATACATCGTCTTATGTGTCAACCTCCACAATCGACTCATCGATGGACTCAAACAGATCACAGTGCCATTAGTCATCGTTGCAGGTGCTCGATCATAGACTGTCGCTCATTCTTAAGACCATGTTCGGACTCGGATTACGCTTTAGTTCAAGCACATATTTGTTTGCATCTTACTGAGCGTACAATCGTCATAACAAGGAAACCCCTTAAAGCCTAACCTAATACTGAAAAAGTTATGAATATATTTCAGAAACAACTATAGAACGAGTTAATCAACCGTGAAAGTGATACATATCCCGAATTAGCTTGTCAGAATATCCAAAATGCTGTGGAAACAGCAGTGATATATACTAGCAACTTAAGCCAGAAGGTTAAGAAAAATCAGTGGATTTCAGCGGCGTCCATTGAACTGACAAATGCTCAGAAACTAATCCCGTCTGGTCCTGAACACGAAGATGTGCAGAGGCAGCCTAAACGTAGGTTGGTCTAAAGCTTACGTAATGATCGTAGTACGTAGCTAAAGCAGAAGAGATGAGTGGGTAACAGTGGATAACTATTTAAACTTATCAAGGAAACGAGTAATAAAAATCCATCTCTCAGTGAAACTATTTCGAAAAAAGACGGGATTGTTATTTACTTTCAATCTAGGGGATTGAACCGATGAGGAGAACATTTTAGGAAACAAATCAACTGGCCTTCAGCCATGCAAGCCTCCTAACTTTTAGTGAGGTTAAAAGGTCTATAAGCAATCGAAAGCGAGGGAGAGCATCAGGGCTTGGTAGACTAACTTCTGAGATTTTTAAATTCGTGGTCCAGTTCTAACAGTTAGATTGACTGAAATCTTAATTAAATCTGGGAAGTGGCGTAATCACATCTGACTACCCCGAAATGCCCTGGCATGGCTGAGGGCAGAAAGACTCAGCTCCACCTCTCGAAATGTCTTTACATGGCCTTGCGTATACTGCCATTACTGGGAAAGTTTTTCTCGCGACTGAGATGTTTACAAAATTGAGAGGACGGAAGGCGAATGTCCAGCGCTCTGACCAGGATGATAGATACGGAGGATTTACCCAGGGGAGGTGGAAAACCCGGGTGCACGTGTGCTTCAGGATCCTGAGGAAACAAAAGGTGTATTAACCTGTTATTGGTCGCCGGCTACCACGGGACTGCATCTCCTGATATTGCTCAACTGCCTTATAGATTAGACCTCGAGGTCAAAGGATCGTGGAGTGGTCCCTCAAGAAAACCACCTGCTTCGGTTTGAGCGCTCGAGCAGTATTCCAGTTCTCAAACAAATCGAATGAAGTGGCGTATATATATTTAGTACCTCCTTGTATCAATGTTTATTTGTCTAACTAACCTAATAAATAATGACTACCTGGTTGAGATCTGTGTTGTTCTTGTAACCAATGTTTAAAAACTTCGGATGACATCGCTCGAAATCGTTTTCGATGGCTTAGATGCATCCATCTCTTTTCTCTCCCCAAATACTAAATTCCTCAACTCTTTGTTTCATTTCACTAATTTCGTTTTTCTTTTCGAATCGTACCTCCAATGTCTAATCTCTCCTATTATCACTGATAATGTTACTATGTCTACTATTCTTTGTTTGGGCCTGAAAATTTATTCTCTCTTTGCTTATGGCGTATGACAACTTGGACTGAAGTGTTCATGTGCAAGGTTCTACATTGTGACCAACTGACGAGGTGCAATCCCTCCATTTATGTAATCAATTTTTTGGACCATATTTCCAATGCGTAGGCTTCCTCATCGTCATTCCTAGTACGTTATTTCAATCTGTTTTGCTGTTCACCTTGTTATTGTTATCTCGTGCTAAAATGACATGGTATCTCCAGCCAACGTAAATCTCTGTCAATCTCCTTTGTTAATGACTGACTTATGTAATCTATAATCTTAATATAGATATACCTTGAAGCCTTTAAGTAGGTTCCCTCACAAAATGTCTATGATTACTGACATAACCTATCATTTATATTAAAGAACAGATAACTACCTTCAAATATGTTTTTTTATTTGACTTCATTCCACAGGCTGTCAGTTATCAATTAAGCTTACATACCTAATAGTTTATTATTTATTATTTATTTAAACACATATATATTGGTACAAAAGGGCACCAGGTACATATGCGCCACACAAAATAATGAAAGTAGGAAGAGAAGGGATGAAAAGATAAGGCGGACTGAAATGTACAACCAGAAGACTCTTTCAGTTAAGAAAGTTAGAACCATTCTTTATGTAGAAAGTAAAAGAAGGTTGCAGCAGGATCGCCACTGGCTTCTATTCTGAGCCATATCTGATAACGTCTCTAGACACTGTGTTGCACCATCTCTCGGACCCCAGCCAGGGAATCGTGAAGGACCAACAGAAGCTAGCCCTTTGCAGCTTTCTTTTATGCCACGACACCATGTCATACACTGACCTCCTCTCCGCTTTTTCCAACCAGTCCCAGGGTCGGCAAATAATGCACGACGTGGAAGTCTCTGGGACGACATTCGTAAAACATGTCCAAGCCACCGAAGTCGGTGTTTCAAGATGGTGACACCAATTGAATTATCGTCTCTGCGCCCGAACACACGATGCCGAACCTCTGCATTACTAACATGGTGTTGCCACTGTATGTCAGCAATCCTTCGGAGACAACGATGATCGAACACAGAGAGACGTCTAACATCCTCAACTCGGAGAGGCCAGGTTTCACAAGCATAGAGCAAAACTGCTCTCACCGACGCGTTGTAGATCCGACCTTTTACAGCCAGACTAACATCACGAAGGCGCCAAAGATGGCCCAGATTGGCATAAGCCGCTCTGGCTTTCATTATACGTGCATCAATCTCATCACTCACGCCACCACCAGCACTTATGTAGCTACCTAGATACACAAACTTCTCAACTACTTCAATCTGCTCACCATCCAGGGTGAGTACAGGATTAGAATCCTGCCAGTCTTGTAGGAGTACTTTGCACTTGGACGGTGCAAAGCACATGCCGTACCTGCGGACACTGATTGCCAACTGATTAAGTGCGGATTGCATGGCTTGAGCGTTATCGCACAGTAAGACAATATCATCCGCATACTCGAGGTCGAGAAGTCGTTCTCCAGGCAACATATCCACACCGCCATTACTTACATCCATCAGAGCTGTTTCCAGGATGTCGTCGATGGCAAAGTTGAAGAGGAATGGTTAGATCGGGCAACCCTGCCTAACCCCACTGCTCGGATGAAACAAGGGAGAAAGGTGGTTGTATGCCCTCACTCTGCCTGAGGTGTTCGTATACAGGGCCTTTAAGATGTTAATGAACTTCTCAGGCACACCCTTCTTCAATATACAATCCCAGAGAACAGTCCTGTCCAACGAATCGAAGGCCGCCCTGATATCAAGAAACACTACGATTGTTGGCCTGCGATAAGTATGACGGTGTTCTAACATTTGGCGGAGGGTGAAGATGTGATCAATGCATCCTCGACCAGAACGAAAACCAGCCTGCTCCTCGCGAGTCAATCGTTCTCGGGTTTTAAACAACCTACGAAGAATGATAGAAGCCAATAGTTTGGACGCAATCGGAAGTAGACTTATCCCCCGATAGTTGTTACAGGAACAACGCGAACCCTTTTTAAAGATAGGGACGACTACCGACTCATTCCATGATGTTGGAACACTTTCTTGCTCCCAAACCTTTCCAAACAACACAGTCAATTCCTTAGTCAGAAGGTCACCACCATCTTGAAAAAGAGCCGGAGGTAAGTCATCTGGACCCGGTGATTTGTAACGTTTCAAGAGTTGGAGTTCCTTGCGGACTTCCGCCTCGTTTGGTGGATCAGTCGTCACCGGCCATGGGGGCAGGACAAACTGGTTGATGTTGCCGGAGCAGCAGGCCAGTTGAACTGCCCTTCGAAGAATTCCGCCCATCGTCCAAGACGTCGACAGATGTTAATGATTGGCATCCCGTCATCCTCGTAGATTGTTTCACTCACACCAGACTTCTTGCTGCCAGTGGCTCGGATGAGTTGGAAGAGCTTCCGGCAGTTTCCAGATGCAGCTGCTTCTTCCATCTCATTAGCACGCTCCGACCACCAGGCTTCCCGGTCCTTAAGCAAGCTTTGCCCGATTTCATTACGTAACAGCCTTCGTTTGTGGTCAAACTCACGGTCACCCGGAGTAGACCGACGGGCTTCCATCAGTTGTAAGGAACCAGAAGAAACCCAGTGCTTGTAAGCGGAACGTTTCGCGAAGCCGCAAGCGGCTTTACTCGCCATTTTCATGGCGTCGTGAAGAAGCAACCAATGCTCATCTATACTTTTCGGTGGGGATGGTAGCTAACCTAGAGGCTAGCTCCGCTCGATACTTACTTGCAACAGAAGTTGCAGCCAGTTTACTAACATCAATCCGTTGGTGGTGGTCAATCCTTCGGCCACTGAAAAGTAAGGTGAGATTGGCGCAGACCAGGGCATGATCAGACTTCAGATAGGTACTCCAAAAGGAGCGGCAGTCTTGTACACAACCACGCCAGCGGTAGCTGATCGCGATGTGATCAATCTGAGTCCAGGCTTGGGATGCAGAGGGAGGACGCCAGGTGGCACACCGGCGATGACTGTGCCGGAAGTTAGTGCTGGCCAGAAACAGGTTGTGGCCTGTGCACAGTTGCAGCAAACGGTCCCCGTTATCTGTCCTGCGACCAACAAGTCCCCATCGGCCACCTAAACGACTCTCTTCTGTGCCTAGACGCCCGACCTGTGCATTCAAGTCTCCGGCTAGTACTACAATATCTGTCGAACGCACTTTCTGGAGAAGAACTGTTAACTGATGGTAAAACTCATCCTTGATTGCATCCGGGCTGCAATCTGTCGGAGCATAGGCGGAGATGACGAAAAGACACCGTTTCTCACGCCGGTTTCTTCTCACTTTGATGGAACTTTCTAGTCTAACAGCACATAACCGACTGTTAATGGGGATCCAATCGATTAGTGCTGCCTCAGCCCTAGCGCTTAGTGCGACACCAACGCCAGCAAGACCAGACGAAGATGCCACAGGGTCCCCGGATAAGCGCACGTGAAACAAGCTTTTCGAGGCGACAGATGGAGAGCGGATTTGTAGTACTTCACTAGAGTCTTGAATACAGGTCTCGGATAGACAACAAACATCAACATTAAGACCTTCCAAAGACATAGCCAGCCCTATCTGTTGTCTGATATGCATTAGTGTGCGAACGTTGAAGGAAGCCAGCTTGAACGGCATACGTGGTTTCAGAAAGACTGCTTCAGTATTCATAATCGGTGGAAGCAATCACTTTCAACCAGACAGTGACTGGAGATCGTTTAGATAGGACAGATTTTCCACCATGGGCGAGCTGCTGCATAAGTTGAAAAGTAAGGTTACACAAATTGGGGATAAAAGGGGGTGAGTTAGCGGTATGGTAAATAATAATAATAATAATGTAAATTGTCTTGCTTCTAGTATGAGCAGGGATAGTATCGTCAATAGAGTTCATCATTTCATTTATTTGTGTGTGGGCTGTGATACTGCCCGGGTGCCCAAACCGAAGCAGGTGGTTTTCTTAGGGGGCCACACCCCGAGCCTTTGACCAAAAGGTCTGATCCACAAGGCAGTGGAGCATCGTGAGGAGATGCAGTCCCATGGTAGCCGTTGACCAATGACGGGTTCGTCCGCCATTCGTTCCATCAGGATACTGGAGCCTATGTGCACCATTGGTTTGGAATAAGGGTTTTCCAACTCCCCTAGGTGGACCCTCCGTGTCCACCGACCCGGTTAAAGCGCCGGATATTCGCTCTTCGTCCTCTCACTTTCGTAAACAACACCCCGGCCACGAAAAGGCAGTGAGTAGGACTTCCGTGGCAGAGGCTATATATTCGCTGGCCATATGAGGGCATTTCGAGAGGGAGAGATGACTCTCCCCACTCTCGGCCGTACCTGGGCATTTGGGGGTAAAAGTATGGCAACTGATTGTTGCAGTGTGGAGGTGCCGGGCAACGATCCCGGGCCCTCTCGCATGCCAATACCTAATAGTTTAATCCATTAAATGGGTGTTGTTGAAATTTTTGACACCTTGTTTTCGGTTTTTCAAATCAATTACATCCCGACTAACCTAGAAAGTAATATAAAGGATTAATAGGGATCAGGTTTAAGATTCGTCGTCTAAAGCTGCACAGAGAAATATTCGTCTTATTAACGCTTTCATTTATAGTATTACAGGCAAGTTAATATCTGCAGGGTTGAAATCAAATGCTTAAACTGTTGGTAACGATGGTCAATCTCATTTGCGTGGATGTAACAAAGTTAAACATCGAGGAAAATGATAACGGTCTAATTGATGTACTGTTTACTTAACATCGAACCTACAGTTCTGTGGGCCCGACCGTTGCTGCTACCTTGATGTGGTGGTCGGGTTTGTCTATTGTAATGAACCAATCAAGCTATACTGCATGGAACAATCGATCCTCAAGGTCCTACCATGCCAGGTAGGTTGGTTGAAGAGAAGTAAGTCTAAAAGTAGCAAACCCAAGGTTGGAGGGCGAAGTCGTACTGCTAGCTGTTTAGAGGTGTGACAGCAGTATGGTGTTCCCTTCAGACAACCATCATGACAGCGATGCTGCCTTCCCACAAGGAAAGGTGAGGTTAGAAAAGGTCGACCCTAAAAATACACACCTCACCTTATCCCACAGATTCCCGTTTCTGTCGGTAAGGTCCCAACAAGTACGGAGCTAACACGAAAACTACTCCCAAAAGGGTCGTGTATGACCGACCTCAAGCAGTTGTCTCTTGGGCGTTACGGTTACGCTCTCAGGTCACTAAGACCACCTCTAATCCAATTTCTTTTTCAGGTGCCTCCAGAAGAACGCTCCCGCGGTGTAGGAAACCGGGAATTGATAACCGCTCTCGTACTTCTGACAGCACTCAAGATCATCGGGGTGTGTTTATTGATCCCAGTTGAACAAGTGGTTAATAACGTTATTCTTAGGATACTACTTAGTGCTTACGCTCGAATCCAGAAAACGGGTGTCGCTGTGCTTTAAACTCATTTGTGGTGTATGTATTTTAATATGCTTAGATTGACTCATTCACCAGGTACTTGTATATGCGCCACACTGTAGGTGTGATGGCTGATGATACTGCGCGGTTGCCTAAACCGAAGTAGGTTAGACGGTGTTCGAACCTGAGACTTTGTGACTAAAAGTCGAACACACTAACCACTTAGCCAGCACTTCACTTAGGTGCACATGTATGAAATCATATTGGCCGTCAAAAAAATTGATGTTTTTACGGTTTAAAATCGTCGACAATGTGACCTATATACACATGTTCAATGGTAGTCCTAATCTGTAAGACAAAGTTTGAATATTTCTGACCGCATTCATCTCAACCTATGGTGTTGCTTGGTAACAGTATATAGTACCCAATATTGTCAAACATTTTATAAATAATATGGTTAAAATACGTGTACCATATTCAGTCGCTTCTGCTTCACCGTCGAAGTATAAAAAACAGTGTAGATGCAAACAAAATATGGTCGGGCTTTTAGCATGAATCATATTAAAAAACGAAGGCAGTATAAGTGACCTAATGTCCCAAATAAGTGAAAATCTGTATTTTTATCCGGCGGATGTAATTAATTAGAGTTGTTCATTGTAAAATCTGACATCCATTTTCATTGGTCTTTATAACTCAATATAAAGTTACCAGACCTCAAAAGAATGGCTCATAACCAAATAGATTATATGTACAGATGATGTATGCAACTGAACATTTTATTTACTTTTTATTGATCGGTTTCATTATTGGATATATGTAACTTATTCGTTTAAACTGTTTTTTAAATACTTTCGCTTAATAGAAATGGGGTGTAAATTATGATCCTGTGGGACCGGTTCCTCCAGGAGATGATATAAATGCTCCTGATTTGTATATTCCTCTGATGGCTTCCATCACATACATACTTCTGAGTGGTGTTATATTTGGATTTCAAGGTCGTTTTTCACCTGAGTACCTTGGGATTTTATCCAGTGAAGCTTTTGGTTGGTTATTGCTTGAAGTTTTATTATCTCTTTTTGCAATCTACATCCTCAATATTCAGAACAATATTTCTTATTTAGATATAGTTGCTTATTGTGGTTATAAATTTGTCAGGTTAGTGTTTCAATTTATTTATTTCTGTTTATAATTAATTGTGTTTATATTTTTCTGTTAATAATCATAGAATTTAATGATGAACTTTTAACGAGTTATTTGTCTTAATAATGCACTAAGATATCCCGTGGTCTAAACGCCCTGAAAAATACAGATACATTTGCCAGTAACCGAAATCACGTGTAGCTCATTTAAACTCCTATTAGCCAGACGGAAACATTTAGATAGTCTATTTGGTTGGTTGAATGTTTATTAACAGTCTTCAAAGACTTATGAAATTCCCATCACATGAAATTGTGCTTGGTTAGTAAGTATTATTTTAGAAAAGGTTACATTTATTATTCATCATACTACTCAGAGATTAGGGGAATATCACTAGATGATATTCATTTACAACTATTCATTCTATGACAAAACTAACACTCGTCTTTTCTGTCGACTTATAATTTTTAAAAACTTGGCTAGATTTGTATTGTTGAATTGGTATGCATAAAATATATTCTGACATTTCAAGGTTAAGATTATCGAAGTTATTGAAAAAGACACCCGAGCTCCACTACTAATATTAATATGTTAGTACATATAACATATACATATAAACATAATTGTAAAGATGATATCAGTTAGACATAAAGATGCTTACTATTCTCATTTCGGATATAATATACCAGTGTATATATTATTTTGTTAGTTAAATCACTGTTTTAGTAATCTCAAGTTCATCGTGGATTTTGAACACTTAGTGTTCTTTCATTCAAAAGGATTGACTTACTGGCAAAACTCATGCTTTAAGATGTTAAAAAAATCTGTATATTAATATATTTATATCATCATCAAACGAAGTAGTTTTGATAACAAGTATTTCATTATGACTTGTCAGTGTTTTGCAGTAGGTATATGATAACCCAACATTTGTTCATCTTGTGGAAATTATCAATAAGTTTCCTCGACTTATTGAAATCTTGCTAGCTTTTCTGTTCTCGGGATAAACATGAGACCAATTATTTTCGGAATCCTCCTCCCTAAGTTTATCTTCAAACAATTGAAATCACTGTCGTTTGTTTAAATTACCTAAATCTGTCCAACAAGACCTGTTTAATCTGAATTTGTGGTATGAGGTAATGTTACCGATCATTTTACAGTGTCCCAACTTTTTGTTTACAACTTTTCTTTTCTTTTTTATAGCATGATAGTTGTATTGATTAGTTATATTGGTTTGGATCGACCAGGCTATTATTTTAGTTTACTGTATACTAGTTTAGCATTGGCATTTTTCCTCGTGAGTTCACTTATGGATTTTTGTGTTAAAGTTTTTATTGTAATAATCTCTTCTATTGATTTCCAGCGAATAAAGTCTTATTGAGATGTGCTACTTTTAATAATGTGTCAACATTAACTTGCACTTTCTATTAACAATGATTTGAAAAAAACAACCTGATTAAAACTAGCGAAAATTATATTTCTGTGATTTTAAACAATTTACTCATTTTTATTCAACAAGGGAAATTGTTTTTTTCAATATTGGAAATTACTTCTCCTAACCGTCACGATGCGTTGTTCTTGAGATTTTGTATAACAGTATCTAGTGATGTCATTAGCATGGTGTATACATCGGAAGATTCACAACTTGTAAATCCATATAAATGAGTGCTAGGCAAACCTTTTGCACATGCCATAGGACAAGGTATGTGTATGCATCGTTTACAATCGCTGCACGATATCCGCTCACTTAGAGGAAACTAACAAAACTAAAACTACGGTTTTTGAATTTCCAAGTGAATGCGTCATTTTATGTGTTTAATCAATCTAAAAACGCTCAGTTCTCAAAAGCCAAATATGAAATACATAGTCTTCTGACGAACTTGAGCGAAAATTCAAGCACATTGCGGATGCGTTTCTCTCCCCCACTAAATGCAAGATATTGTTTTAGGACTAGTCTGCATCAAGCGATTAGAAGCAAAGTGGTTGAGGGTGTAGATCACTCAACTTGGGTTGGTGCCCGATGAAATCTCGCCACGAGTTCAGAAGTTTCTGTTATATTTTTTCAACTTGGGCCGCTTTTAGCGTCGGCGAGATATTCATCTTCCAAGTAGAGGATAAGTATACCGGTCAACAGTTCGTTTTGTTTTAATTTGTGGCTGTGAAAAAATGGTCTTCAAAATAAAGAAAATACGTTGGTTACTGGTATTTGGTCATAAGTACCTCTGAAGCATTGTTCGTGGATGTCTGAGCTACGGAGCGACCAGTGCTGATGTTAGGCGTAGGGTACTAGTTAAGAATGGGAAATCTGTTGGTGAAATAGCGAATCTTCATCAATTGAAATGATTGGAATACATATTATGTATGCTGAACCACCTACCTTGACGTGAAATCTTGGCTGTAGTCGAAGTAATGTAAAAAAAATGTGAAGATGGCCAAACCAAGTCATGAAGTTAGTCAGTGAAGCGACTGATTGTAGTGTAGACAGGTGCAGACTATATAGTGGGGGTCCACAAGGTTATCGAAAGCAATCGTTAAAGACTTGAGGTAACAAGGCTGAGATGCTTTCACTCTTCGTCTATCCTTAAGTTTTAAATTTCTGAACCATCTTAAATTTTTTGTCATCCCACAATTTCATATTTTCTAGAATCGTATCTTTTATCCCTAATTTTTTCTATAAGCACTAATACTGGTATTACTTTTAATACTTTGGTATTGTTCTCGACAATTCTATCTAGTTGTACCCATGCAGTACGGCAACTTGGACTGATGCATTTGTGTCAGTTCTACTTTACGTTTGATTGACTGACTGAGAGTTCAATTATTAACCTTCGAACACTTATACAACTTAAACATACTTCAGTTCTATATGGATTTAGTGATAGTTAATCTGCCAAACGATTTTTTCTAGGACTGAGAAGAACTGTCAGTCAAAACTGAATTTATAATTTTTACTACATATTTCATGAAAGTTCTATTGTGCGGATCTAAAACGTGGAGAATTACTACAACCATCATCAAAAAAGCACGGCCATCTGTAAACAATTATCTATGCAAGATACTCCATGTTCGTTGTTCAAACATCATTAGCAACGATCTACTGTGACAGAAAACAAATCGGCTTTTACTTCAAGAGTAAATTAGGAAGGTGGAGGTGGATAGAATATACACTGAGGAAATAATCAAACAGAACTAGCCATAGCTCGTTATCTTCAAGGTAAAAGGAAAAGATGCAGATCAAAGAACACATTGCTTTAACAATCTGAGGTTGATACGAAGGGAATGAATAGCAATTGACAAAAATTGAAAAGCAGAGCTCAGGACAGAGTTAGCTGTAGAATTTCTTGGTAGTCAGTGCTCCACGGAACCTAACAGGTGTAAGTAAATAGTCCACTAAGCTCAAAAATAAATGGTTCATAATGGAGTATCAAAGTTAGAAAACACCAAATACTAATCTACGATTATATTTTTTCTAGGTACTCATTTTATATTGTTCATCCTATACCGATGACTGTTGCAGTTTGTAAATTTACCCTGTTTTTTGTTTTTCCTTTTAACTATTTTCAGATAAGAAGCCTCAAACTCAAAATTCTTCCACATGTTGAAGCATATCCATCTGAGTGTAATAAACGCCGATTATATTTACTACTTCTGATTGCCTTCATTCAACCATTAATGATGTGGTGGTTGACACGTCGTGTTATCCTGTAGGGATTGTAAACCGTGTTGTTTTTTTCCTTTGTGGTGTTTATCATCACAATCTGATATAAAAAAGTAAAAATTGTCTAAATAACATCCTTTGCTTCCTAATCTGTGTATAAACAAGGTTAAACAATTTCCATCTTTTTTATCAGTCACATTCTCTTTTTTTAAGTATTCAAATATTCGCTTATTCATAGAAAGATTTTTCACCGACGAATTGTCGTTACCTGTCTAATGTAAAAGTGTTAAGGATTGTAAAAGATTGTTTTTGAGAGTTTTAGTCGTGCAATTGTATGTCTTCACTTTCTAACATATGCTTGTATTCAATGTTTCCAGCTATTTGTCCATCAATATAAGATTATTATTTATATGTACTTTGTTTTAGATCCTATTATTTTATTCAATAATTTAGTAAAGTATATTAACACAATCCAGTTTACTGAATTGTCTACACTTTCCTATGGTAGATAACAAGTATTAAACGTCTTTAGTTCTTATATCCCACTCTGAAGTTTATTACCGTAGCAACATTAATAATTACTGTCAATGATTGTATAATGAAGGCAGTCATAGATTAGTGATTTTATCATACTTAAAAGAATTCAACCTCATACTGATGAATCTAAGAATACTTTGCATTTCAACCGTCACTTTTAATGTTTGCTTAAAATAAGAAACAATTTAATAAATATCTATCATTGACTTTATTTCACATGTTGATAATGATTACTTTCATTAAAAGAGGTTGTTTTGTTTATTTAAAGGTTGTTAAATAAATCAATTTGAAACTATTTTGTATACATAATAAAAGTATACGATACTGACGACTTTGGCTAACTCTAAAAATTGCATAAAGACTATATACTCATGAGTAAACAGGCTGTCAAAATCGAAATTCTATCGTCATATAACTCATTCATTTGAAAAAGTTCACTTTATGTCCATGACTTTCAATTCACGCATATGTATTTTCCCACTATCGCAATATTTATGTACAGAATCATTGAAAGATCGTTGAAATGTTATGAGATTACTACTTGATAAATAAAATTCTTAACTATTTCATCAATCAGTTTACATGATTTAGGAGTGTTTGTCATTCAGTACATCAGTAATGACTGGGTTTAATTCAGACTAAGAGGAAGGAACCAATCATTGTTAAAATTATTTTCCAGATAATGTCTGTATCAGGGTTAAGCACTTTTTGTAGTTCCTTTTCGTCATCATGACATTTTCACTGTTGATAGCATCAATTTTAAATTGTGTGCAATAAAGAAAGGTACTTTTTACAAAATTCTTTATGAGTTGGATACAAATTGGCACTACTTTTAAATTTTGTCCAAAATATCTATCGCTATCTTTATACTAATTGACTTCTCAGTATAGTGTAGTTTTCCTGTGGATTTTATTTACCCCTGAAAAATAGGTATATGAACTTCAAATATTTTGAGTACTCTGCTTTCTACTCGAATAGTTGCAAAAGTTTTCGAGTGAAATTATAGATCTCTCGGTTATCTAACTGAAGATGTTACACAGCCGCTTAAATGATTTTATATCCGACTGATACAAAACATAAAAATACTAGACTTATTTCTATTCAATGTATTCATAAGACTCACATCTTTGTAGTATAATCGCTTAATTATTCTGTTTAATGCTTCACTGACTTGTCTGTCGATTAATGTACTCATTTTATTTGTTATCACAAAATGAGTCCAATAAAAGTATAGTTATTATGTGGTAACAAAAATTTATTACATAAGTATGTAATAAAAGATTGTAGATCATACTACTGATTAATTATTTGAATAGTTAACGTTTAACTAAACAGAAGTTATACATAGAAGAAAAGAAAGATTGTCATATTGGGCTCAACATTTTTGTCACGATTATATGTCATGAGGATAAAGAAGATAACCAGATAGGCTGCTATACATATGTCCATGTAAACGATAAGCTTCATCTCTACATTCCAACCATATTTGATCATTTTTATTTAATTGAATAATAGCTTGATTAGTTACAGTTGCCCAAAACGTACTTTCACACCATGAAAGTAACACAACTTTACCATTTTGCAGTAATCGTACACCTGCCTGAATATATTAAAAAAAGTTTATTTGAAGACAGACAAGAGTTACATATGATAAATAATAATTAAACTGGGTTATAAATGATAGATAACTAGTATATTGTTAAAATTTCTGAACTTTAAAAATCATATATTCAAAAGATTTGTTACTCAACGTTTATAGAATATTTTAATTATCCTCTCTATAGAAACCGCAATAGCCTTCACTGAATTACTTGAAATCGTACTAGCCCTCTTTTCTGAGCATAAAAGCCGAAAGAGGAATCCAGATTTTAGAAAATCAATTATTTATAAATGTAAGACTAATCACTTTAAAATCTAATTTTATGTGATGAACTTCATGTAATATAACCAGTTAGTCATGTTTTCAGTCTTCTTTAGCCTTATGTATATGTATGATTTGCTTCGCCGCAAATCTACAGATTTTGTGATGTGAATATTGAACTTTCAACTGTTTAAACACGGTTCGGGGTTCCGCTCTACGTACTTCGATGTAGGCTATCTTAACGTATTTCTGAAACTCGAAAATCATTTGTTCCCGAACCTTGGGTGCCAAAATGTTGTGGATCTCTGATTTGCACATAAAATATCACTTTGAGACCCAGATAAATTGATATCCAAATAGTAATTTGCTAAGTACGGAGAATTAATTATGGTCTGAAACACATGACTAACTCTTCTAGCTGCTTCATTAAATGGCATGTAACCTGATCTCCGAGCTATCACCAATTATCTAGTTATTACGAACACTTGACGATTGGCAGTAAGTTCAAAGTCTAGTTTATTCTATCAGTGAATTGCGATATGCAGAATGAACTGAGATTATGTGATATCTTAGCTTCTTTCAGCTATCTGAATCCCGTTTCTATTTAGCTGCAATTTGGTGACCTTTCGGTGATTACTGAATTCGTTATTTCTTAACTGATGACTACAGGCAAAAAAGCTGATAAATAAACTATCAATATGAAAATAAAATCGTGTTATGTGTCTCAATTTTATGCTTGTAGTACGTCTGAATTTCGGGGCGATAGCTATTTTGTTATGAGGTTGCAGTATCACAGCCCCCACACAAATCAAGTGAGATTTGTATGGCGCATATTTATCTGGTGCTTTTTGTACCAATATTTATGTGTTTAAATAAAATAAATAATGAGGTTGCTAATGTTTAATTCAAGTTGATTTATTTTAAGAATTGATACCGATCGAGAAACCATTGAAATTTAGAAGCTTAGTTACAGATTTCATAATTATATAGTGTAAGAAACCACATGCAAAAGGTCTATATAGACTACGGAACTGGTGAATACTTCATAAATCCCAAAGTTTGTTGGAGTGGTGATAATAGACGATACTTTACGAGAGGATTTCGAAGAAAGTAGTCATGTAGGTGATAAGTTTTATGATATTTTGATATAGTACTTTAAGAGCATATGTTGTGTAAATTCTACTATGTACTGCTCATTGATGTTGATTGGAAAGCACTACGTATTACAATTGAATTATTTATCTCAACAATATGAGTCGTAATCTTGATTTCTTCACCAAAAATAACCCAATATCCACGACAACTGAGTGATCTATTAATCTTAGACGGAAATTAGTGAAACATAATCGAATTCATTTATTGCATAGACGGTGAATGTTAACTCTTGTTTGTGGTATTGGACACCAAAGGTGTGTTCATTAGTATCTTCGAGTGATTGTGTGGATTAGTGATAACAGTCCTGTTGAATAATAGTGTCGTGTGCTTCTAGATTAGGGCAACTACTAAGAATGTGTATATTTTTTTAATCGATATTTTGTTCTGTGTATCACTATATCCAGGTTTTAACTGGTCCTTATATTGTGGAAGTATTACTACTCCAATAACTGATCACTCACACTTACTAAGGTAATTATAGCACTAAACAGTATTAAGTTATGTGAATTATGCAAAGTACTCATCGAAATTTTGATAAAAACCTAACTTCAAATTTATAACTTATTTCTTGACCAATAACATGAACTTAAGTCGTTTTGATTGAGTTAAATACACATGAACTCCTGGCAAATTTACATCGTTTATTGACCTTAAAAAAAATAGGTTTTAAGCAACTGAAGATAACTCTGCTATGATCTCTGTTCTTCCTTTATTCAAAGTGAAATGCTTGAAATTGAGTATTTCATTCATAATTCGAAGATGAAAACTATGGAGTTTATCTTTCATTCTGAATTTCACCATCACAATAAAACAGTCGACTATTAGAATATATGTATAGGTTAAAGTAAATCATAAATGTCTTATTACTGTTCAAATAGCCGGATTATTCGAATGGTTTTTATTCTGGTTGAAAGATTTAGAAACTGTTTCGATACTGCACGTACCATGTCTAAAATATTTAGTAACTATCACCATTTATTTATCAAATGCCCTGGTACGGCCGAGAGTGGGGAGTGTCATCTCTCCCTCTCGAAATGCTCTCATATGGCCAGCGAATATATAGCCTCTGTCAGGGAAGTCCTACTCACTGCCTTCTCGTGGCCGGGGTGTTGTTTACGAAAGTGAGAGGACGAAAAGCGAATGTCCGGCGCTTTAACCGGGTTGGTGGACATGGAAAGTTCACCTAGGGGAGTTGGAAAACCCTGATTCCAAACCAATGGTGCACATGGGCTCTAGTATCCTGAGGGAACAAATGGCGTACGAATCAACCGTTGATCACCGGCTGCCATGGGACTGCATCTCCTCACGATGCTCCACTGCCTTGTGGATCAGACATTCAGGTCAAAGGTGTTACGTCCAATTATGAGTTTTTGCCCGTTCCAACTATTGAAGTACTGGCCGTCGATATTCGCAAATTACGAACCCAAGTAGGCAAGAGAACCAAAACTCCAAATAAGATACCAAGTTTATTCGCAATTCACAAATAATCGACCAAAGTCGTTCTAACAACAATAATTATGACAATTACAAAACAAACCTTCAATTTTGTAGGTTCCCGGAGCAAAAACTCCCAAATACCAAACCAATGACAAAAGAAACCAAAATGTCCGAAAGGAATGATATAAACAAACAAGTCCAAAGGTTAAGTAAAACAAACACATCCAAAAAAACAGTAAATTTGATGTACAGTAAAAAGTTTTAATCAGCTAAATGTCTTTAGTTCTCCCGTAACATAAGGCTCCGGGTGTGGCCCCCTAAGAAAACCACCTGCTTCAGTCTGGGCACCTGAGCAGTATCACAGCCCTCACACAAATCGAATGAGATTTGTGAGGCGCATATTTATCTGGTGCTTCCTTGTACCAATATTTATGTGTTTAAATAAATCATTGAAATAGGTTTATTTTTTGAAAAAAACTGCTACCATAGTTTATTGATGTGGTTCTTTAATTGAATTAGGTAATCTACTGTAATTAGCACCTTATTTAGTTGGATTTTGTTCATCTGAAACTGCTAACACATCCCACTTAGATTAGTGAAAAAAAATCATTTAGTTTATACGAGGCTTAAAACTTATAAGAGTTTTTGTCGTATCGCTAATGAAAAACATCCTCAGAATTAGCTTATCTTCGCAAACCCCCATACCAAACAATAATTGTGTCCCCTCTAATTAGTTACGTGCAAGAAGATTTCTTAAGTCATAATAACAAGTTTTTGATTAGTGGAGTTCAAGAATATGAACAGTGAGGTAATAACCAAATTATGTCATGACCTCACTGTCACAAGTTAAGAACATAGTCACTAAATCAGTTATCTACAGATAATTCGCTCTCCGCGTAACATGGAGATATCAACTTCGATCCAGTCTGGATTTATCAGTTTAAGCTAAAGATAGATCTGAAATCAGAACCAAAACAGCTATCCATTTTTACTAATTTTTTTTAAAAGGTCTCCAGTTGATATTGTTCTTTATTGAAATCTATCTTCAATATTTCATCATATCAACCACATAGTCTGCCTAGTAGATTATCTTATTATTTTAACTTGACAATAAGAATAAATATATTAATTATACCCTGATTTTGATTATTTGTACATCAATCCCTTTCGTATAACTTTGTTCGTTTCAAAAAGAAGGGGGAAGCTGACAATTATAAATATTAAAAAAAATAAGTCAGTGAAGTGAATTTTATCCGAAAAATTTATCTTATACAATGAAATTAACTTAAAATTTCCAATGAAAGTAGTAACTATGTATGTATGTGTATGTGTGTGCATTTATCTTCTGCTCTTTTCAACTTAGAATTTGATAGTTTCTAACACGAAAAAAAAGCATTAGTCAAAATTTGTCATTTTTTATTGTTTATCTCATAGTGGTAAAACACACACAACATCAAACAAAGTGGAACATATATATATATTGTGTGTACATTTTTCATGTATGTAAATGTATACAAATGCATTTCTATACTATAGAAGTAAGAAATACAATTCTGTTTTACTAGAACATTTATTTAACCTATAAATATTGTTATTGATAAGATCAGTGATTGTACAACAAATAGTCAACCAATCTAGTTATGCGCATATTGATAGGGATGAATAAACAAGTTTTTATTTGTAAACCTTTTTTTTAGACTGAGACAGAAAAAAAAGATGATTTTCTTAAGCTTTACAGTTTATCTCGAAGGAGAATCTTTTATTCAATATTATTATTATTATTATCTCTACACTTTATAACCATGTACTTGTGTCATATTTAATGTTCAACCGGGAATGATTATGTTTTCTTCGCGTGATCAACTTTCTTTTTCGTCTCTTTTTTTTCTTCAATAATACTTAAAAGTTTGTTTTAAATCAAAAAAGACAAAGTTTTATAGATGTGAAAAAAAAGTTCAATATAAAAACTAAATATTTCCGTTCTGTGGAAAAAATGACAAAAGAAATAAAGACTTTTGGTAAATTTCAGTTGAAAAAAATGAGACCGGTTTTGATATGATATCATTTGATAGTACAATCCTTACAATTTATGTTGATATAGACCTTAGGAACATAGTAAAGAGTAAGCTGTCAATTTAAAACATTTA